GTATAAACAGGGGCCAGCAGTATAGATCATACGAAACCATTTATTTACATTAACAATTACGGCATGACACATTGGTTTCAGGCATATGAGTTGTGGTATAATCTTAAAGCTTGTTCATTTGTCTTGGGGGTTTTTTATGAAGAAAAAATCCATCTACTTGCATCCAATGCAGGAACAATCCATGCAGGTTACGGTTACGTGGCCTCATCTAAAAAAAAGGTGTGTGTTTGAAACAAAGGAGGATGTGAGGTTGTACCTCGCTAGTTCACGTGAGTCAGAGGGATATGTTTATGTTTCATGTCAGGACATTTTTGGATTTCGAATTTTGCTCGAGTGGCGGCCAAACAGCCTACTTTTTTTTACTTTCAAAAACATAAGAACCAAAGGATCTTTAACGCTTTAACGTGCGCAACGAGCACATAGAATCTCCGAGAATTGTTGTCCTTATCCGAAAAAAAACCAATGATTATCATAGACGTTGTATTAGGAGGCGGGCGACTTCGAACCTGCACGCCGGACAAACCCGGGCTGAATGAGAGACAACATCCCGGTAGACAGAAGGGGGGGTCCTTGTAGTCAATGGAATGACGTCCCTATTTGAGAGTCGAACCTAGGACTATTTCTCGCGACCACAAACAGCCGACCCACTAGACAACAAGCTACCCTAGAATTATAAAATTCTATCTACTCAGTACCTAAGTTTTGATAAATCTGACTTTAAAAGAAATTGTGACTTAACATCATTGTCAAGCTCTTTTGAGTGCATTTCTTTGTTTATCTTGACAACAACTCCGAATATTCTTATGATTTGACAGAGCAGATAACATTTTTGGATTCTGAGCGTATGATCTAAGTAACTCGAAACAGCCAAAACTGTCAGTAGATAGAACTTTATATTTCTAAGGTAGCGATAACAGACACCGGAGAGACTTGAGTCTGAGTGCAGAGAAGCACATCAACCCGACAATGGCCAAATAACGAAGGGAAGAAGCCAGACAGATAGACAGAAACAACAGAGGGAAAGAAAAGAAGTAGGAACTACCCGTGGCGCGCTCCAACCACTCGTACCGGAGAGACGGACAATGGGAATTCTGTGGGAAATCGAAACAAGATGTGAGGTAAACAGGAAGATAGAAGTTCCGCGGTGGTTTGTGCTGGCAACTGTCGGCTACATTACTAATACGGGTAGAGAGGTAGAGAGAGAGAGAGATTGAGAGAGAGAGAGAGAGAGAGAGAGAGAGA